TATATAACAGGTTTTGCCCTCACCCAACGTATATCAATAAGCACTCACAAGCTCACAAGCTTACCCGAGTAAGCTTGTGAGGTTTTTTTCGCAAGCTCTCGGACAAGTACTGAGCATACAGTGCTTATTGATATACGTTGGGTAAGGGCAAAACCTGTTATATAAAACCTTAATTAGGCGGAAAAGACCTTTTAATACTCCCCAGAGTACCAATCAATGCGTACAACCGAGTGCACTTATTTGACGTTGTTTCAAGTGTGAGTTTTTCTTCCTTCAGGTTGCCTTTGGGCTTGAACTGGACGATGTAATGGAGAAAGATTCGCCCTTCACTCAGGCCATCCTGATGACGCTGCTAGGGATTCAGTCACAGTTTTTCGAGCCTTGGAGGCGGGTAAATACCATCATGATTATTTCTGTAAAAGGCAAAGGGTATAAATGCACACCGTACAATACGGGCGATTCACAAAAGTCCGCCTCTGCGAGTTTGCAATGCGTTGGCCAATCACAATGCGCAAAATCTGTCGACCCCTTTCAAACAGGCACTGGGTTGACAGATTTCGAGCATTATGATTGGCCAGTGTGTTGTAAACTCTTGGAGGTGCACGATTGTGAAAAATCCGTATTAAACGGGGTCACTTAAAAATGTAGGCTACGGTTGCTGGCCGTTAAAACTATATATAACGCTAATCAGCACTCAGTTATTAATTAGCTTTGTGTGTTTCCTGGAATTCCAAAACCTTCAGGAGCATTTATCGTACCCTGTACCCCTTTCAGTTTAGTCCACTGTCCAGTGACCGTAAGTTCCGACAAGATGTTCGCCAGGCCATTAAGTATGTGCGGGCAACGGGTCGTCGATGCATCGAGGCCAGACTCGAGGCGAAGAGGCGAGGAGAGAAGCTACCAAGAGACCTCCTCACCTACATCCTGGAGGCATCCCGAGACTTCCAAGCAGACAGTGACTTCAACATTGAAGAAATGATCGACGAATTCTTCACTTTCTTCTTTGCGGGTACTGAATAAAAAAAAAAATCTGTGATCGATACAATGCATCAGGAGCATTAGAGCAAAACGTTTTAATTTTACGTAGGCCTACTTACTCGTGTAGATAGTGGTTATATAATTATGTTTGTTTTGGTGATTACAGTTGCTGTCTTTAAAGTAACTATTTCCTAAGGCGCTGAGCCCTCTGAATCTGCCAATTTGGCTGATACAGCTAGATAGATGTGAACACATGTATACATATGAAGAAATAAATCTGTTTATGTCTATTATAGGTCATCTGTTAAGTTTTGATGTCAATGTTCTGACATTTTGACCTGTTTTGTTTTATTTCCAGGCCAAGAAACAACAGCTAATTTAATGGCTTTCATATTGGTGGAGCTAGGACACAATCCAGAGATCTACCAAAGGTGAAAGAGTAGAGACCACAGCGATGACATCGACAACTTCAGCAACGAAAGCGACGGAAAGACAACGACAAAAAAGTTAGGAACAACAATGACAGCAGCAACTGTGCTATCACCGAAAATAACAACAATTAACGATGATGACAGCGACAGTGGTGACAGTGACAATGTCAAATAGTACACACTGAGTACAGAAGTGAAAACTTGTCGTGACCAACTAACTATTCAGCTAAGCAACCAACAATCAATCAAACAAAACAGTTATTAAAATTCTTACTTCAGCCACCAGTATAACTGGTACTTGCAGACAGGGGAGTCTCCGTGTCTTATAAACATACACAATGTACATTTACACAGTACTTGTTTTTCCCCCTTTTCTCGGACCAATAGAGTAATGACAGAGGTCAATGCTGTGTTTGGTGACAAAGAGAGAATAGAATATTCGGATCTGGGAAAGCTGGAATATTTAAGTATGGTAAGAATTATTATTTATTTTACAAGCGTTGCTTTTGTTCTGCCCTCTGGTTCCTCCCGGATTTCAGGCCATGGCGTAGATATATAGATCGGGTGCATCACTCATTACGTCCCCCGTTTTTGAGGCGCCTATATCCATACATACCTTTTTGGGTGCGTTACGGGCACGATGCTTTCATGCGTTTCACTTTCACAGCCACAAAATTGTCTCCATTTATTTAACATAACACACGTGTGCCTTGCGTTCAGCCGTCAAAATCGCCCCGGAAGCTCTGATCATCTCACGAATACAAAAAGCAGGCCTACATGATGAATGTCGGCAAAGTGTGTGACAGAGGTGGAAGCTACTTGCAACGAGGTATATAAACGGGGAAAAAGGTTTTTTTTGCCTTGGTGATGTTTTTCATTATATTTCGACTAAATATGCAGGTTATCAAAGAGACTCTTCGCTTGTGGCCTCCCGCATTTGGCACCAATCGTGAGATGGCTTGTGACATGACCGTCCTCGGTTATAAGATACCTCAAGGCACGGTGGTTTGGGTAAGGTGGAATATGTTAAGCTTTCCTAAGCAATGAAAAATTCAATTCCTACCCACATCAATTCGTTGGGAGTTTCAACTTGAAAAGAGGTATCAATAGCTCCCACGCAGTTTGACGCATCCTTGCGAGCAATCTGACCCCAGTGGCGCAGAGAAAGCATTTTTTTTTGGTGGGGGGAAGGCGTGCCATTGTCAATTTGCTGACTTGTAACTTGTTCGCCAACCATTTGTCGTGTATTACTTGACTAAGTGAGGAAAATGGAAATCCATGGTACGCTACACTTCATATTTCAGGGGAAATGCCGACGGCCAACGTACGTCGTTTATGTACCGATTTTGGATCTATTTGTCTGCCGAAGCTATTTTTGCTGACTGGAATTATTTATTTTGGGGTCTGCACCCCACGTCCCGCCCCCGGTCGCCGCTGCCCTGTCTGAACTTACAATTCAAGACGCGCAACTTTCGTTGTAATAGGAAAGTAATACTTGTGTTAAACAATAATCTAGGCCGAGGCCGATCTCAGTTTAAAATTTCTTCATGCATTTGTTTGCATAGTTGAACACTTACGTGATGGGAAGAGTTGAAGAGTTTTTCAAGAACCCCCTGGTGTTCGACCCTGAAAGATTCTGCAAGACGGAAAAGGGAGAAAGGTACTTTGACGTCCCTAATATAAACACAGTGTTTGCATCGCTATTACTTGTATGTTTCCCTTGGCCAAGTCATCATATCATTGCTCCAGACTATTTTCGTGCGATTGTTTGCTTTAACTCTTTAACAGCCAGTCGTTTTCGGAACTCTCCTTTCCAGGGGAGAGGAAGGAACAGCATTCTCCCCACCAAAATGCTGTCCTTATCCCGATCTCACAAGTATAAAAACTTTTATACGTAAATTATGGGAAATCTCAATCCACAACAGGTTTTTAAATGGGGGGGGGGTTGTTTCAGCTTCTGACCCCACACGTCAGCCCACATGCATCGACTCTTACCTGTTTTGAAACGAATGGTGTTTTAGTGGAAATCTAGTGGTCCGATTTTCTATATTATTGGTGCCAAAATGATTGATAAGACGTAACAATGATGTTGGAGATAGTACTGAGGGGAGGGTCGGAATCAGCCCCTTGTCTCTTCCAAGAATACCGCTGTGTGCTTGATCAGATTATTCCCGCTGTTTGTTTTATGACATTGGGCACTGAAATGTGGTGCTAAATCTCACTGTCCACGTGTTATTTGAAATATCAATCATTGGAGATAGACACAACCGTTTGTCAAACTTTGGAATTTGAATTTTGCTTTCATGTACTTTAACATGGAATTAGTACTATGGTATAACAAGTATAAAAAATACAAGATAGACCCACGTTTACATATACCAGACTATAGAACGAAGATCGCGTATTTCGTTACTTTTAGTGTGTTATCTATTTATTTTTATTTAATTTCATTTTTTATATTTGATATTGTTTTACAGTTTATGTATTAACTAACAATCATTTGGTCTGAGAGACTTCTTTGAATATTTTATATTTACCTGGGCGAATTTCGCAAGAATTTGCCCGTACACGACTCCGAACAGGCAACGCGTTGCAACGGTGCGACAAAGAACGTATTTTCGCTTATTCTTGGATGGAATGAACCTTTTGAATATTTATTGGAAGCAAATAAAGGACGCATTGAAAGATGCAAGTCTAACAGATGCTTTTGGACTCATTTGACCGAGTTAACCCATACACTTAATTTCTGGAAAGGCGCTCGTGAATTCAGTCGACTAATTTGTGAAAAGCTAAAACTCGGTGTGATTTTCAATAAAGATGTTGAAAAGTCTCATCCTAATGATCCCAATTTCTGACCTCTTAGGATCATTTTAACAAATTTAAAAATCAATCCAACCCCAAATCCTACTTATTGTATTTGTGATGCAATTTTGTCTGCTTCGAATCCGTAGTGGCGCCAGACTGTACAGTGTAGGGAAGGGGGAAAGTGAGGCGGTGTGGGGCTTGACATCATTTAGGTTTTTGAGGCGTCGTCAAAAATGAACAAATGCTCATCTGTGAACAGAAAAATAGCCGCGCGTATGAGGCCATTTCCAGGGTTTTCCAAATAATAATTCAAAGTATGTCTTCTTTTTCCCCATCGATTTTGCCTAGATTAGCCTATCTTTTTTTTTTGTTTTATTTTCGGGCGGGGGGGTAAACGTGCTGGAGGCCAAGATGATATCTGGGCACATGCCACCCCTTGAGCTTCCCTCAGCTGTCTTGTTACTGGCTGATAGAGAATGGGTATTTAGGACGTCACTTTGCACATTTCGCTTTCATCCCGAAAGCATTATGCCTGACCTTTGCTTCTTTATAATCTTTTTTTCTTTTTCTTCCAGGGAGAAGAATCTCTTCACATACTTCCCCTTTTCTATGGGTACGAGGGCCTGTATAGGACAATCATTTGCGCTGGTAAGGCTGCAGTATGTCTCCTCTTGAAAAAGATCACGTTTTGAATATCAACACAAGTTCAGCCGCTGTGTGATAATTAAAACATACTTTTAAGTAACATATCCGGGAGTGTAACAAACGCAACCGAATGCGCACCGGAAGTATGAGTTTATTCAGGAGGATAGGCAGATCAGTGTCCCCGCGTGGCACCATCCTCTGCTTGATGCAAAGACTAACCACGATTGCAATAATTCTGACTTGCGTCCATGTAGTCCAGCGACCCTTATGAAAAAAATCCAGAGCTGCACAAGCGCAACGGTTCCTGGTCGCTCCTGTCCGCCTTGAGCAGAAGCACCCCCTCGTCGGTTGACAAGAGCCATATTAGTGGGAATATTCATTTTGTTGGTAGTGACGCGCACGCACATGCACGTATCCCACTGTACTTGTAGACGTTTGCGGTAGCACCACGCAAAGATATCTCTTTTATGATAATGTGTGGTTCTGACGATGGACAGAGAATAGGCTTACTGTACGAAACGTTGAGTACACTCCCGCTCCTTTCAGAACCACACATACTCATAAAAGAGATATCCTGCATGGTGCTACCACAAACCTCGGAAACTAACTTGCTACTTTCACCATGAAAAGCTTAAGAGCTCTTTAGTTGTTTGTGAACCAGCAAAATTGAGTTCCTATCAAAGGGGCCTCCGTTGCTAGGAAAACTGCTCCCTCTCTTGGTCCCACTAGGGGCCTATAGAATGTGCTGAGGGAACCATTATCAGCCATTCCATTTTTTCTCATAAAAGAAAAGTGTTGTTCATTTTAATGCGGAACACACTGTAATTACTTTGAGAGTTAATGGCCCTCCAGATTTACGAACACGGAGAACAATGGTCAAGGCGCGTTTCAGTATGCAGAATCAATAATGCACATGTTGTGTATGCTTTTCGAAATCTGCTGAGTCACAAGTGGGTGTGCCCTCCTTAAAGTCGTGTTTGCTGTCAGCAGTTTTTGCAGAGATCACATTTGCCTGCTGCTGATTTCAAAGTAAACCAGAGAAGATACACAGCTTGTTCGCAACCCTTCAACGTCTCCTCTTTTCACAATCTTCGCATTTGCTCCTTACATAATATGTACCTGTGCAGCTGTGTAGGCCGACGTTTTCAGGAACTACGAAGGGTTGATATTAACTCATAACTTTTTTCTAAGAGTTTGTTCAGCTCTTCATTGTAGAGTAGTGTTTTGGTCTTTCAAGTTCACACATCGGGCCAAATTCCCGCAACATGGCCTACCATACCTTCTTTTTCAGATGCATCCTTCATTTTAAAAGTAATTAAACACTGTAATCCTGGAAAAATTTCATCATCTGTAGAACCCATGATGAACCCTGACACAAGACCATCGCACTGCTTGGTTTTTGAGAGCATCCCGCTGTACCCTTGATTGTTACCATTGTTGGATTTTTTTCTCAGATTGAGGCTCGACTCATCATCGGTCGCCTTCTTCACAACTTCAAGTTCACTCTGGCGCCAGGACAGCGTCGAGATGACATCCTGCAAGAAATAACGATCAAGCCGCGCCAAAGATGCACGAACTACCTGACACCCATTCGCTAGATAAAATCCACGGCAGAGAACAGTTACATGACATAGTCATTATGCTGGGCCCGAGCAGAGGGGAAGGCAATCGTTTGTGTAAAGAACACATTATCTGCTGACTTTGTGTTGAAACTATATAAGCCAATTAACCTTGGTCGATTAGTTCAATTTATTCTTTAGTTGTACTGCAACTTGCAATCAATATTTTGAAGTTAAACTCTGAAACAATCAGACTGATATCATCGATAATACTTTTCGGGGGCAGAATACCATTTACGCATGTAAATGGTGATTAATATGCCAAGCGTAACACCTGTACCCAGTTCTGACTGGTGTACTAGATCAAAATCAGAACCACATTTTACTATTATATGCCTTTCTAAGGGGAGAGGGGACATTGTTGGGGCTGTACGCCGTTTTGGAGGGAAATTCAAAAAAAGTCGCTTGGCTTTTTAGCATGGCCCTCGTTGCGCTAATCTCAGATTCGCCCTTTGTTAATAATAGCTAATGGGTCTGATTCTTGAGTCAAAATCGAAAGTGAGGTTAACTCTTTATTTTTTTTAACTTGAAAGCATCAATGAAAGAATGAAATTTCTTGTAAGTGTAACTTAGTACGTGTCTACTCTGATGGGTAATTTCATACCGTAGTGTTTTACGCCAGATTTGTCAAATAAAAATGAAACGGAGGCTTAAACTCATATGACTGCCATTCTATATTTAACAATTAAAAAGATATCCGACCAACAAGATCAAGATGGCTTCGAAAGGAATAAGGTCCATTGAGTACAGACAACTAGATCTTACTTTCGTAGAGGTAAGCCTATAGATTCAAGCCTTGAGCGGCATTAGAGGTACAGTTTTAGAACCACAAAAGGCAGCAAAATGCCTCAAAACAGTGAAATAAACATTGGATAAGAGATCAACTGACACAAACAGATGCCTTCTGAAGATGTGCATTGAAAAACATTCTTTTGTATCGACCCTTCAAGAAGACTGCAAAGAAACCTGTTCTACTTATTTCATGTCTCCATAGAGATGCTGTGAAGGCTGGAATCTCAAGAGTACTGTGGTTTGCCCGTTCTAGGAGCAGTCCTCAGCTTGCATGTAAAATACCCAGTGTCCTGGATCACATGCCTCCCGGTGACAGTGCGGAGTGCGATGCGATTCTGTTGTATATTTTCATGGTCTTTTCATATCTTTCACGGTTACGAACAACTAGGTATTGTCGTCCACAATCTAACATGGAAAGTCAGTCATAAAGTAAGCAGCATTATAAATTTTCAAAACCTACAAAATGCACTTTTGTGACTCAGTTCACCTCATTTCCAATGTTTTTTTTAACAATTTGAAAGGGTATTTGCCTGTCATAATAGTCTTCATAATGAATATCCCCATTGTACGTGAGCAAAACTGATGTCGTGCCAGAAAGAAAATCTCAGTGATACATTGCCGGGTCAGGCTTGCTTTGTTTGTGGTGATTCATTGTCGTCTAAATACAGAGCATTAAGTAAGCATCAATTCCTTTCTCAAAAGTGTTTTAATAAGTACATAAAGATTCGGGGTTCCCAATTTGAACAGAAAAACGTTATGCACTGATATT